TATATATATATATATGTATATGTATATATATATATATGTATATGTATATATGTATATATATGTATATGTATATATGTATATATATGTATATGTATATATATATATATGTATATATATGTATATGTATATATGTATATATATATATATGTATATGTATATACGTATATACATATATATATATACATATATACATATATATACGTATATACATATATATGTGTGTATTATGGGAGAAAAACCAAACAAACATTTTCTTCTCTAGTTGGTCTTCAGGTTCACACTGAGCACGTGCAGATGAAGAACGCTGAGGTCACGACCCGCAACCAGACTCTCTGATTGGTTCAGAGAAACCCCGCTGCTAACACACACACACACACACTCACAGAAAATACTCTTTCACCCCAATTTCCCAGCTCTGTCAGGAGCCGTGTGATTGGACGAGGGAGGAGGGGGGAGGGGCCTGGAGGACTCTGAACAGGCTGACTGGTTTTCCCAGAATCCACTGGGAGCAACGTTAATGGAGGATGAAACCAGCATCAAGTTCCTCAGGAAACAGTCGACTGCAGTTCAAACGTATTTATATGTTATATATGTTTTTATATATGTATAAATATAAAAACATATATAACATATATATTATATATATATAAATAGGAGGAGGAGGCGTCTCCTGGATTAAATCCGGATGGTTAAATTAGGAGGAAGTATTTTTAGCTTCCGTTGCCGCCCCCAGAGGCATTCATTACAGCCGTCCTCTCACACTAATAATAACCTCTAATGCTGCCGGAGGAAGACGAGGCAACACATATATCATCTTCATCATCTTCATCACTCTGGAGCTACAGGCTTTTCTGATCCAAAAGTTTTAACTGGTTTAAATCTGAAAGTTTGTTTCCATCGTTATTATTATTAATATTATTAATCTTCGTTATGTTTTTAACTTTAACTTCAATTTATTCTGATTAAATTTTGTTTTCTTTTCTAAATCATATTTGAATATTTTTAATATTTTCTTCCTCATAAAAGCAGATTTGAATCAGCTTATCTTCAGTGTGATGAATCTCTGCTGCCCCCTGCTGGTCTCTGCTAATACTGGTCTCCTGGTCTACAATGAACATTTATTTAAACCAGATGTTGAATCAGAAAACGAATCAAATATAAACTAGAGTTTAATCTGTGATCCGTCTTCACTGTTTACATGTTGAACAAAATCTCATCAGTTTGATCGGCTGCAGCGTCCAATCACATGACTGATGAACAGTGAGGGGGCGTGTCGGCCATTAAAACACTTCCTGGAAGTCTGTTCTCGTGGTTCCTCGCTCATGGCTCCTCGGAGATCCCTCCTCTGTCCTCGCTCCTCAGAGCAGAAATAAGAGCTTTGGGACGGCCGTCAATATGGCGGCGCAGAACAACTTCCGGTGTCAGGGAGGAGCGAGGAAATGACAATTAAGAGACTTGGGACAATTAAGTCTGTTAATTGTTATTTCCTCGACTTCCGGTTGAACCGGTTTCAACCGGAAGCGATCATCGCTTGAACCGGAAGTTGAAACCGGAAGCGATCCTCGCGATCCTCCCCAAAGACCCGTTTGAGAGGAGAACTTTGAGGAGAACCTTCAGGCCAAAGAGCTGATATCAGATCAGCCTGACCTCACAATCAGACAGCAGACTAGCGGGAAAGGGAAGCAGTACATGAAGCTTCTCCACTAGATGAACACCAGACAGGTTTGGCTAGCTGGATGACATCATGCTAATAACTTATTTAGCATTTTAAAACAACGGGGACAGATCCAGCACGGACAGTTAGGGAGTGAGAGACATGAAGCACCTGCTGAGACATGATATATAGTTATAAATACATCATTATATATATGTGTGTGTGTGTGTTTTATATTATAGTGAATATTATACGATATATATATTATTATATGATATATATATTATACGATATATATATTATTATACGATATATATATTATTATATGATATATATAATGGTCCTGGACCCGGTCCCAGTTTGATTGAAACCAGGAGAGGATGATCAGCGAGTAAACCTTTATTATGCCTGCACAATGTTGCCAGATTGACGGTTAACATATCAAACAGTTAAAATTCATTCATCCATTTTTTATGCATACAAAAAGAATCTCTATAAAATATCACTCTGTGTTTTCTTTCAACAATCACAAAATAAACCGATTGTTCCACCGCACGACTTCCTGTGGTAAAAAACAACCTGTCTAAGATCTTTCTCATCACCTGCTCCTCCTCATCAATAACACCAGGAGAGAATAAATAAAGTCACAAAGATGTGCTCAGTGGTTTAATGTTTGAATCCATCTGATCAATAGAACTAGTCTCATTAAAGATCAACTCATTTTAGATTTTTAATCTCTTGAAGTCCTGAAGGTGATTTATTTTGAAAATATGCAAAAACAAGATCCATCGTCTGTCATTTTAACTGAATATCTTAATTTAACTGAGTAGAGTCTCATGCTAACATGCTAATATCTCGAGGCGGTTCTAAGCTCCGGCTGCGTAGGTTGTGTTCATGTTCAACATGTTACCTTCTCTATAACAGAGGAAACATCACTGAGTCCTACGTCTGAAGCTGTTTGTGCAAAACGTTTTTTAATTCAATTTATTTTACTATACAGGTACACTTCTACACGTCCCAGGATCGAACCGTTGACCTTGCAGTTACCAGACAACCCTCTTAACCCAGTGAGCCATGGTCGCCCCAAAATGTTGAAGGAGAACTTTTGGAAACAAAAGTCTGGGCATCTTCAGGATGAGGAGGAGGATGAGGATGATGATGAGGGACGGACTTAGAAGTGAAGAGAGTTAAGTCTTTAAGGGACGGTGAAGTGGAAAGGACTTCCGGGGATGTTGTCGTCCCCCCACTTGACGATGAGGATGTAGCTACCTTGCTCCTTAACGGTGTAGTTGACGTTGTACATCCTGTTGCCCATGTGTTTGACGTAGACCTCCTCGCAGGGCGTCTTCGGCCCATGGACGCCCACCATCAGCATGTTGGTGCCTGCAGAGTCGAGACCAGAGACAACGGTGGACATTTTATTATCAGGGACGAAGACGGAGATCAGATCCAAACCTCTGTTCTTTGTTCCTCACCTGCTTGGCTGCAGTCGACCGTGAACGCGTTCTTCTGGCCCACGAAGGCCTTGGACAGACCAGAACCTCTGGAGACCACTTTACTGGCGTCCGAGGAGAACTTGGGTAAAGAGCCGTAGGCCCCGCCCATCGCCGACGTCTTGGAGACGGTTTCGACGAGAACAGAGGACATCTCGTGCAGACTGTGTCCGCCGGACAGACGAGGCCCTGCAGACATATTCAAAGACACATCAGGAAACCTCGATCAAATACACTGAAGCTCGCTATAAAGACTGTCGCTGACGTTCTCTGACAACAAACTCTGCTTGTTTTGGTCTGCATCTGGTCTGGAGTTGGACCACGAAGAGTTAAACCCGTTCCTTTAACCGGTCCAACAGCCACAATACCACAAGTTCACATTCAGATCTGCAGAGCGGACTTCCTTTAGACTAAATGAACACATTCTAACATTCATGGGACAGCTGCTGGACATGACACCTGAGTATAAAATCCATGAGACATGATGATGCTGTGTTGAAAGTCAGCATAAGACACCAGTCTTCCAATGGATACCAACTTTCCATTTGTCAGCTCTGTGTCCTTTCGATTCGCCCTAATATACTGTTGGAGGTGTTATTGTAAAGTGTTGAGGAGCCGGACGCTGAAGCAAATAACAAAGTTTTTGTCCTCAAACAACAATTGCAACAGTGAATATCCAAACTGTCTCAGGAGGCAACTTCAGTATTTGTCAGTGGACCCTAGAAGGAGGCAGCGGACTCGGTCGTTCTGGACGATGCTTCATTTTATGGCGAGTAAGGACTGTACCATTCGGTAGAGAAGGTCTGGGTCTGTTTGAGCGACGCCCTTTAGTACCAATACTCAACGAACTACTGAGTACTGGCGGAAGTCAAGCACTATACCAGCCGGCTCCTTTGACCCACCTGAGACTTTGGCCTTGAAGGGACTCCCTACGATGTGCTGGGGTCCTCCATACTTGATGGAGATCAGGTAGCTCCCAGGAGCCATGGGTGTGTAGGAGACCTTGTAGCCCTCTGGACTCTCCTGACAGTCCATCTTGACCTTGGACGGTCCGTCAATGGTCACAGCCAGAGCTCCTGATCCGGCGTTACAAATGTTCACACTGAACTCTGACACCACACCTGAAGGAGGACAACGGCAGGACGGACACCTGTTAAAATCTGTCTTCATTGAGGTGGTTTTATGGTGTCTATTGTTTTGTGTATACCTGTGGTTCCTCCCTCCAGTCCCGGTCCGAAGGCCGACACCATGCCGGGATCTCCCACCTGTCCTGGTTCTCCCACTCGGATCTTGAAGGGACTGCCGGGGACGTGGCTGCCGTTGAAACGAACGTCGATAGAATGAACTCCGTTTTCTCTCGGGATGAACCTGATGGCATGCTGGTCTGTGGGGACATGCGGGTTTTAAATGACAAACTTATCAGTGTAATGTGTTGGAGTAGAAGTTGCGATCTTTGTTCTGTCCTGATTTAGCTGAAGCAGCTACATAGAGTCGGGTGTCATCTGCATAGCGATGAACATGATTATTGGGGACAATGACATGAAGAGGGAACAGAACAGATTACATGAAACAGAATTACATAATTAGGATACAAGAAAAGGTAACTATATTCTGTTACAGCTAGCCCTTACATACTCTTTATATTTGATACCTTCACAGTATGGTCCGGGTCAATTTTGACCCGGACCAAGAATTACCTCATAGTAAGTGTCTATACCAAATTTTAAACTACAGGTCTATTTAGAATGTCTAAAATAGCTTATGGCTCATTAATAAATGTATGATTAATCCTTAATAAATGTTTCAGAGAGCAGGGAGAGTGTATTTTTTAAATTTTACAACATTCGTTTTGGAGAAAAACATCTACTATTACACATTATCATGTCCTGTTTTACATAAGACATAAAAACATAAAAGCCATAATGACTTAAATATATTGTATTGAATTTGAAAATGGTATGAACATTCTGGAACTGTTAGAATTTATAATATAACCATGTTTAATCATTGCAACCATTAAACGCTGTCCTCACTGTTATATCATAAGAAACTATAATTATCAATATTAATTCAACATTTACCACTTAACACAAAACATTATATAATAAAATGCTTATTATGAACTAGTCTCTGCATTCAAAGCAGTGGTAGGAGACTTTACGTGTGTGGAACTTGCACATGTGTTTCCCACATTTGCAGCAGGTTGTCCCTGTTTCGTAGTCCTTCTTTGCAGGGCAGAAGTTGCATCTCCTTCTCTTCCGTCCCATTGTGTTGGCTTCTTGATCAGGGCCAGGCTCAGATTGCTGCATTGCCCTTACCAATGCTGCTGAAGCTGCTGTGTGGGGAAGGTGTTGTCGCTTTTGCATGTAAGGAGTCACAAGGGCCTTTCCAAGCTGGAACGTTTACAAAATGTCAGATGCATGGGAGGTGGCCAGTCTTGTGGGTCCTGGAGTCATTCGAATGACATTTCCCACTGCCATCCTGCCTGCAACTTGATGTGGAAGTGAAGACCAACAGATAGCACTGTTTTTTTCCACATTGTCTTCCTGCTCTGACACATCCTCCAAATCACTGTCGACCTCCTCATCTTGGGAGAACAGATCAAGGGCCTGTTGCACACTAAATCTTGCTGCCATGATGTCAGTCACTGAAAGGGCAGCTCAGGTACCTTTATCATGTTATGACCCCTCCCCACCACCACCACCACCCTCCTAACCCAAATTGATTCAAATTTGTTACTTTGTAGATTATTTGATAATATTGCAGGTGCTTGTGCTTGCAGGTGCAGATCTTGCGTTAGTGACAAGGCACCCTCTGACCTGTGGATGACCTCTTTTCCCTTTGTGCACCATATATGATCACTCCTGTGTTGTTTTACTATTTCACTGTTTCGAGGCTCCCCCATGCCCCTTCAAAGACCAGCAGGTGTCTGTCTCTGAAGGGAACTTGGGTAAATGTCGTGAGAACATAGACAGTTCTCCTGACAGTGTCGAGGTCGCCCTTGAACTCTGTCACCACTGTCCCATAAAAAATACACACAGACATGGCCTGTACAGTTTCAAGATTCCCTAAAACCACCATTTTCCTTGATTTACCCACACTGGTAGATCTAAAATCCATCTCAATAGATACGGGTCAAATTTGACCCGAAACAGCCTCAGTGTAAAAAAAATTGTAGCATCTGTACAAAAGTATACAATTTTAAAATATTTTAATTTTTGTGTATTTTGGGTCACTTTAGGAAAAGTCATCAAATTTCAGGCTAAAAGAATGATGTTTAGGGTATTTTTACTGCTGTCAAATGTCAAAATGGGTCAAATTTGACCCTAACAGTATGTAAGGGCTAGAGAATAAAAGACCTCATGACAGTACCTAGATGTACTACCTCATGCACATATATGTACACAACACCAGTCTCAATGATCTCTGAAGTTCACTTAATATGTAAAGCAGAAAAGAGGAACAAAAGTCATCACTTTCTAGGTCATCAACATGCAAGTATCTGAGCATCTATAAAGACACCAACTCTGACGATGCAACGATATTTCCTTTGACTAACCCGACCCTTTGTATTGCTGCTGTGTTCTTACATAGAAGAATGTCAGTAATAAAGTGTCTTACCACTCTCCAGCTCGGTGATGGAACACTCCTCTACGGCTCCGGAGGGAGTGTGGATCTTAGCATCGATCAGCCCTCTGGCTCCGTTGAGCTGGACAGCAAACGAGGCCTCCTGCCCGACTTTCAGACCCGTCTCCTGATGGACAACAGAGAAGGTTTACTGAGAACTGGTAAAGTCAACACCATGTGTTATGTTTAGATCATACATACAATTAACTAATAAGATTCATTTAACTCCATGATTTTACAGCCAAAAACAAGTTGTTTGAATGAAATTTTTGACTTTTCATCTGAAATAACTTTTCTCAAGTCTGAACTAGAAGATTTCTTGGCCTTTTACTGATTAAACTAAATTTAAAGCTTTAAGCGTATTTGAGGGCAACAGGAAGGTAGCACAGATATATTTATACACAAACACAGAAATACACAATAATAATAATAATAAAGGTATTCATAGAAGATCAAAACTCTTTATATGTCGGTTTTGTTGAACTCGGTGAAGACGGCGTGTTCTCACCTGCAGGCTGGTGATGGAGAGGCGGCGGGCGTCGTCGGACAGAGTGGCGACGGGGACGATGAACGGAGAGTCAGGGATGTGTTCGTCGTTGAACTTGATGGAAACCTCGTAGTCCCCTGGAGAGAAAGAGAGCTTTTGATCTCACTAGTAGATCATGCTCACACCTCTCTAACAGATAGCTTAGCATAACTGTGGTGTTCACCAGGGAACCTTTTTGGGCCTGCGATTGTTTTCAATACACTGACAAAATGTTACGCATCCCCCTTTTTTCACAACCAATGGAAGAGATTCCCAAACCACAAAAATATCAACCAGTTAAAGAAAACACAAATCCAATAAATAAGCAACAACTAGGATGTGATTAGTTGTGGTGTATCTATAAAGATGTCAGAGTTTCAGTCTTCACAGCAGTGAAGGAGCTTCAACTCATCTCCATCAACTGCTGTAGAGAGCTGGGTGTCGTCTACATAGTGATGAATATTAGCATTGACTTTATGGATAGCTCTTAATGATGACATCATATGAAAGGTGGTGGTACCAGAACTGAGCCTTGTGGTACTCCACAATATTCACTATTAATACATGCATCAGGGATTAAATGTGATCTAGAGTCTGAGTCTCACCAGGCTCCTGGACCACGTAGACGACTCCACAGGATCCGTCCTTCCGGTCTTCAAACATGATCTCGGCCTTACTGGGTCCCTCTACGGCGATGGACAGACCTCCTGCTCCGGCCTCTCTGGTCCAGATACTGAACTCAGCTGACAAACAAACAGGAAACAAACAAACGGTATCAACAAAATATGAAAGTTTACCGTAAGTTTCACATCACAAATAGTAAACAATCAATATTAAAAACTCTGAAATATTAATGAGGACGTCATCTTTGGATCTAAACCCACCTGGGATCCCGGCCACTCCTCGGTCCAGCCCAGTGCCTCCTGCTCGGACCTTGTGGGCCCCTCCCTCCCCCAGGGGCCCCACAGTGAACTGGAAGGGGCTCCCAGGAACGTGCTGGCCTCGGTACTTAACGTTCACCGTGTGAGCTCCCATCTCCTGAGGGACGAACCGGACGCTGTAGGAGCTGTTCTCTCCTTTAATGATCTCAGCCTCCTCCGTCTGGCCTCCTGGACTCAGAACCTGAGCCTCCATCTCCTGGTTACCCGTCTCACCTGAGCAGTTTGAGTTATTGTTTTTGTTATTATAAATGTATGATTTCATCCTGAAACGGTTCCATTGTTCATATTGAATAACCGTTTCCTGATGAACGAAGTTAGACATTCTGAACACACACTCTGGTTCACACACACACATACACACACACACACACACACCGTCCTGCAGCGGTGGCGGTCTGGTCCCACTGAACCCACTCAGACTCTCCCGTCCCAGGAAGTCCCCGAACACGTCCCTGAAGGGGTCCCCCACCTGGGTGCTCTCCTCCACACGGACCTCCCTCTTAGTCTCTCCGGCTTGGGTCTTACTGATCTCCGTCCGCTCTGTCCGGGTGTAGGTGTGGCTGCTGCGGGTGAAGGTCCGGGTCAGGCGCTCCTGAGCCGAGACCATGTGGAACCAGTTCCCTGAAAGCAGCGGAGGGGAGGAAAGAGGAAACGAGGGAGGTGAAGAGGAGGGAGCAGAGAGGACAGGAGGACACAGGTGGAGGAGACGGGTGTCTCACCTGGTATCTTGAGGTTGAGGTCACAGGTGCTGCCGACTGTAGCGATGGACGGAGCCTGACGCCTCCTGGTGATGCTCTCCTTCATCCGGCCTTCACCCAACACCTTCACCGTGAACGGACTTCCTGTTGACACCAAGATATTACGATTTAAACACAAGGTTTGTTTATCTACAACCTCTATAGCTAACCCATCAAAAGATCATTAATATACTCAACAATGCTCCTCCCACATTTACACATTTAGCTGAATATAATGATAATAATAATAACAATATTAATCATAATAATAATAATAACATTTTTTTATTTTCATTGATGGAAATGAACTGACTACAATTATTTACTGTAGTATTTCTGTTCTTTGCTTCTTTATACTTCTACTCATCAGAGTATCATTTATTAGAAATATAATAAATACATAAATGGACTCTAAGCCTCTGTTTCCTGGTTTTCATAGAAATGAAATGAAACCACCTGGAAGATGTCGATCAAAAACCAGAGAGCGTGATGGTCCACGTAGTTCCTACCTGGGACGTGTTGGTCGGCGAACTTGATGTTGATGATGTAATTTCCAGGTTCGGTTGGACAGTAGGTGACTTTACAGGTCCCGTCCTCCACGTCCTCACAGTTAATGTCCACTTTACTGGGACCCTCGATGGACAAACCCAGACCTCCATAACCTGAGAGGACAAAATAACAGATGAACTACAGACACCTGTCATCCAATCAAAACTACAGACACCTGTCATCCAATCAAAGCTACAGACACCTGTCATCCAATCAAAGCTACAGACACCTGTCATCCAATCAAAACTACAGACATCTGTCATCCAATCAAAGCTACAGACACCTGTCATCCAATCAAAACGACAGACACATGTCATCCAATCAAAACTACAGACACCTGTCATCCAATCAAAGCTACAGACACATGTCATCCAATCAAAGCAACACATTTATTCTGACTTATTGTAAGTTTTTTTGACGGTACCTGCGTTCCTGGTGTCCACGATGAACTCGGCCACCTCCAAGGTGTGGCCTTCCACCAGACCCTGACCGTAGACCTTCACCTTACTGGCGTCTCCGATCTCCGACTGACCCACCATGATCTTAAAGGGGCTGTTGGTCACGTGTTTCCCGCTCTTCTTCACGCTCACCACGTGTTCGCCTACTTCCTTTGGCGTGAATGAGATCCCTGCAGACGAGAGGAGCGAGGTCAGAACGCTGGAAACTATTTTGTTTATGTGTCTGATTGTTTGTCTGATTGTTTGTCCGATTGTGTGTCTGATTGTGCGTCTGATTGTGTGTCTGATTGTTTGTCTGATTGTTTGTTTGACGGCTGCAGGTTTTTCTTCAAAGTGTTCTTACGATTTCCTTCAATAGAGCAGCACTGCCATCAGTAGGACTACGTCATTGTTTTACGAGTCACAAGTCAAATCCAAGTCCTAAATAAGTTCTTCGTATCGCTTTATTTTAGTGATAGCCACCGCTAACGCTAACGTTAGTTATTTCTGGTTGTAAATGTCAAAAACAAAACATTTGTGTTGTATTTTTGCCTCATTTCATGTTAGCTGATGCTCTTTTCAGAGAACATTAACGTCTCATAATGTGGAACGTCTTTCTGTGTGAAATGTGAACCTTTCCAATAACTGACCAATGTGTCTGTTGGGAAGCCTCTTCAGCAGACACGGCTCCTCGTTTCCAGACGGTGCCCTGATGCTCGCCGTCAGGCTGCTCAGGTCCGTCTCCGTGATCTTCAAGGAAACATCTGTTGCCGTGCCGACGTTAAGCTGAGACATCCTCATGGATTCGTCACCTGGAGATCAACCAAGTGTTACCTCATACGGCTATCAATAGCGACTTACAGATGTTTATTTGAATGAAAATCTTTGAGTGAACTGGTTAGATGAAGAGCTAGAGAGGATTGTGATATAATGTAGGATGTGTGCATAACTAAGCTAAAGGTAGAATAAAAACCGCTGACACGTCCGTGCGTTCATCCGGCTCTAGAGAAACACGGTAGAGGTTCAGTACCGGTGATCTTGGCGGTGAACGGGCTGCCGGGGATGTGCTTGTCATCGAACTTGACGATGATGTTATAGTCTCCGGGTACAGTGGGCAGGTAGGACACGGTGCAGGTCCCGTCTTTGTTGTCTTTACAGCTGATCTCTGCTTTAGACGGACCCTCCACAGCCAGAGACAGACCACCTGCAGAGAGAGACAAAACCAATAGAGTCCTGTCATGTTTCAAAATAAAAGTCTTGGAGGTAGCTTAACATTGATCGAAAACTCCAAAGTAGATGTGACTGGAATTTGTTTTACTGTAAAAGGCATGTATAAAATTTAGAACTGAAAATTATGTGAAAATGAATATCTCTGAAGACAAAATACCTCCTGCAAATGTTTCAAAATAAAGGTCTACATCTTCTGGTGACTTCACGAGAGCTACAGTTACGTACAAATACCCAAAATTTATTGGTGTGTGATGGTACTGATACCTTCTCCAGCGTCTTTAGTGACGATGGTGAAGGTGGCCGGTCGGTTCACGGTGCCATGACTCAGACCGGGACCGTACGCCGTCACATGACCGCTGTTAACGGCGTCCACGTAGAACTGGAGTGGACTTCCTGTCAAGAGAAAACACAAGAGGATTACAAACATGGTGGTTTGATAAAAGTGCAGAAAGAGTCCAGAACCAGGTCTTATTCATCCTAAAGTCAAGCTGTTTGCTGACGATACTCTACTCTCTGTTCCCAAAGACTGAGACCTCTGGTTGAAATAATCCTTAAAATCCTTTAAGAGTAAATATGTGTCGGGGAGTCACCTGGGATGTGGTTCCCTTCGTATTTGATGTCCATCTCGTGCAGGCCTCGTTCTGTCGGGGAGTATTTCACAGTGACGGTGCCGTCCTTGTTGTCGGTGATGTGAGGACACGCGGTCCGACCAGACGGCATTCGCACTTCACCTTCAGTAGGAAGTCAGACAGGAAGTCAAACAGGAAGTCAGGATGGACTATCATGTTGTCTGTTTTGGATCCAGACATCAAACTAAAATATAGAACACCACCACACTGATCCTTTAAAATCTAAAAACAACTAAACTTAATACATATAGATTATTTAAACGAGCAGAAAAGATATTCTTTACATCAAATGTTCATGCTCTCACCGGTGATTTCTCCTTTCTGCACCGTGAAAGGAATGACCAGACTGAAGGGGCGGAGCACCGGATCCATCCCGTCCACGGAGCTGATGGGATCATCGGTGGCCTAAACCAGAGCCAGAGGGAGGATTGTTAGTGTCACCATACTGGGAACTCTGGGATGTGGTCCAGAGAGAGATGGGGGAGGGGGAGGAGGAAGAGGAGGAGGAAGCACAGCAGAACGGTAGAGAGCGAGAGCGAGAGCATCACAGATTTAAACTGGTCTAAAACCAGTCAGACAAAACTCCCTTTTTAACTGGTTAATGGTGCAAGTCGAGTCTGAGCTGAGCTGGTACATAAACACATTTTTACTGTTGTACATAGTCCCAAACTAATCTAAACTAAACATAATAAAGAATACTACTGAAATAATAATCAACAAAAACAATAAACCAAACATAATAAGAATAAATTAATCAATTAAATTATATTAAATTGATATAAAACAAAAGTATATCAATTTAAAAAATAATTTAAAGAAATATTAAATAAAAAATATAAATACAAATGATAGAATAAACTAATACAATCAAAATAAACTAAAAACAACATATCTAATGAATAAATAAATAATAAGAACAGTTCAATATATAGTGAATAAGTCTTCACTAGTACTGATCTGAAGTCTGTTAGTCGGATGGTAGAAGATTAAAACATGCAGCAGCCAAAGTGAATCTGGGTCGTTATTGATCTGAATCAGCTCAGTGACGCAGCCAGTGAAGAGGACACTTGGTGGTACAAATATAAATATATATATATATATATATATACTGTATACTGTACATATATATATAGTAAATATAAATATAGTGTAGATGTAATACCCAGTGAGGGGAGAAGCCCACATAGGGAGTGAAGGGCTGCTGTAACTGAAGCTGATCACATGGCTCCTCTATTACTGGGACGGTATCACTCACCTAACAGGGAACAAGGTAGAGCCTTTAGGGAACACACACACACACACGCACACATGCACACACACACACACACACACACACACACACACACACACACACACACATGCACAAACACAAGTGAATATTAATGATGCAGTGGTTCCTGAACTTTTTACACAACCTTTTTCTACAACCAGGTCCAGGTTCCTGGTTCCTGGTTCCTGGACTGGTCCCCTAAAGAGAACCTTTTTCTACAACGGAATAAATGATCTTCAGAGTCCTGAAGAGGTCTACTGGTCCCAGTAGAAAGCTCAGGAACCACTGATCTGGCCTCGAGGTGCTCGGCAGACTCACTCACCACCACGTGGAACGGGCTGTTGGGAATGTTCTCCCCCCCGAACCGGATGGTGATGACGTACTTCCCGGGTTCTGGAGCCGTGTAGTAGATATCGAAGGTCCCGTCGGCGTTCTCCACCACGTCCACATCCAGCTCCGCCCCGTCGGGGGTCGACACCTTACAGGTGACTTTACCTTTCCCAGCAGCCTTTGCGTCCACAGTGATGACCGTCTCCTCTCCGATCTGGATGGTCGGGCCGATACCTGATCCTGACAAGAGGGACGACCAATCAGGAGGCGAGTCGCAGGGAATCATCTGAACTGTGAGAACGTACGCTGAGCTGCTGCATGAAGAGGTGTTTATACTGTACACAGTGATTAACATAAAGAAACATAAGCAACAAATAAACCAATAAAATAAAGCTAAACTAAAATAATTAACAAAACAAATGTAAAATAAAATAAATAAAAATAAAATAAAACAAGATTAAATAAAGGAAAGTAAAATAAAATTAAACAAAACTAAAAATAAATATAAATTAAAAACGAATAAAATCATTAACTAAACACGAATAATAGCAAAAATAGGAAAATATAAATTAAAAACGAATAAAATCATTAACTAAACACACGAGTAATAGCAAAAATAGGAAAATACAAATAATAAAAAATTGACATTAAAATGGCCTAAATAGAATTTGATTGTTGATAAAAGACATTTTAATTCACTCTTCAGACCAGTTTAGAATAACTCACCCAGTCCGTGTCCTCCGATCGACACTGTAAGAGAAACAAACAACACTCAGCTACCTTCAGCTGAAACACCATCTGATTGGCTGCCACAGTAAGAGGTGGGTGGGGCCTGACCTGTGACCAGACACTTGCTGGCGTCCCCGGCGGGCAGCGCGTGGATGCGGTACGGAGAGTACGGGATCTCGTCTCCTCCGTACTTGATGGTGATGGTGTAGCGTCCCGTCATGTCGGGGACGTAGGACACCGTGTACGTCCCGTCTCGGTTGTCCCGGATGTTCGCCTTCTTGGGTTTCCCCTCCGGATCCTGGAGACACAGTAAATATATACTAAAGTACTCTGAAGTACTACAAACTCAGTACTGTCCATCAGTGGTCTCCTACAACAACGTGAGACATCGCGAGAGACGGACGAAATAATCTAAGGAAGGAAGAGGAAGAGGAGGAGAAGGAGAAAGAGGAGGAAGAGGAGAAGGAAGAGGAGGAGAAGGAGGAAGAGGAGGAGGAAGAGAAGGAGAAGAAATAGGAAGAGGAGGAGAAGGAGGAAGAGGAAGAGGAAGAGGAGGATGAGAAAAGGAGGAAGAGGAGGAGAAGGAAGAGGAAGAGAATGAGAGAAGGAGAAGGAAGAGGAAGAGGAGGAAGAGGAAGAAGAATAGGAGGAGAAAAGGAGGAAGAGGAGGAGGAGGAGGAGGAGGAGAAAAGGAGGAAGAGGAGGAGGAGGAGGAAGAGGAGGAGGAGGAGAAGGAATAGGAGGAGAAGTAGGAAGAGGAGGAGGAAGAGAAGGAGAAGAAATAGGAAGAGGAAGAGGAGGAGGAAGAGAAGGAAGAGGAAGAGGAAGAGGAGGAGGAGGAGAAAAGGAGGAAGAGGAGGAGGAGCAGGAGGAAGAGGAGTTTACTCCGGTTAGTGGAGAACTATAAACCACATCAGTCTGTTAACTGATCACACAAAGTGATGGAGGTCAGTTCACATGGAGACCACGGGGGGGGGGGAATGTATCACCTGATATTAAATGTACTTAGTTACTTTCAGATACACAACATCTTTATTTATGTGTACAATAATATGTTTGTTTTAATAGAACATTTGTGTTACTTTGATTCTTCTTTATACACTACAAATGTAAAAGAATTACAGATATTTCATATTCATAGATATATTTGAATTTATGTTATTAATATATAGATAATATGAAATATCACAGACCTATTATAAGGAGCTGATGAGGATCATGAGATGGTCAAAAGCTCCAGAACTACTAAATGTTTCACTTCATGTATTACATGTATTACTCTGCGGCTCACTGGTGTCTGATGATTCCCTCTTAAATAAAATCACTTCTAATCAGAGTGAGAGCAGGAGAGGAGGAGAGGATCGTTGGTTTTAGGCAGCAAGGAAGCAGAATAAGGGAGTAGGGGAGGAAGGGAGACGAGGTGATGGAGGGAGGAGGTCTTACACAGCCTCTCTTATGAATACTGAAGGGGATGGTTCTCTTTACTATGTGAGTCTCCCACACCCTCCTGCCCCAGTCCTCCACAAACACTGAGGCCTCCCGGCTGGACCCGTCCGGACCCTACAAGCCCCGAGGACAGGAAGTCACAATCAGGGGTTAAGACAATCAGTGAGACAACAACAGTTCAGAGTCTCCTCATATATTCAGTCCTCAGATAACTGGATCTTGGTTGTTTGTTGGGCTGAAGCTTCAGATCCCAAACAGACAACACCGTGGTTCTGTTTATAGTTCTAAACATGCTCAGTAGACCACTACGCTACGATGGAGGTCCCAACAAGTTCGTGCCCCCTATGATGAAGGAATTTATGCCATGAGGACCAAATCAGACACTGGCAGACCTTAGTGGACCATAGAGGACGGTGTGACCCTGATGTTCCTAAAGCAGGACTGGACTCTGGGACTCACCAGGATCTGAATGGTGAGCAGTCCCTCTCCGGCATCTCTGGCATCGATGGTGAACTCCACCGGCAGACTGGCTGGAACTCCGGATGCATTCAGACCCGGACCGCTGGCTCGGACTTTACTTGCATCGTGAGCCGGTAACGTCTTGATCTTAAAAGGACTGAGAGGAACCGGATTGGAAGGTTAGACCTGAACCAGTACAATCAGGACTTCTTCATATATGTTTCGGTACCGACCTGCGAGGGACCTCCTGGTCGGCGTACTTCACACAGACCGTGTACGGGCCGTCGGCGGAGAGAGTGTAGATGACGGTGTGAGAACCGTCTCCATTATCGGTGACGCTGATCGGCTCGGTCACACCTGGAGGGGAACCGGAGTTTAAGAATAAGTTCTATACCGTAACAAAGTTACATCACAAAGACCTTTGTGGAAACCTAGAAGACCAATTAGACCTAGAAGAAGAAGAAGAAGAAGAAGAAGAAGAAGAAGAAGAGAGGAAGAAGAACAACAGGAAGAGGAAGAAGAAGTAGAAGAGAGGAAGAAGAAGAACAGGAAGTAGAAGAAGAGGAAGAAGAAGGAGAAGGACAGAGAAAGAAGTGGAAGAAGAAGTAGAAGAAGAGGAAGATGAAGAAGATGAAGAAGAGGAGGAAAAAGAAGAAACAGAAGAAGAATAAAATAAGTTCTATACCTTTTAGACTTTAAGACTGATGGAAATTAGTCTTCCTCGACTTCTACCAGGGACTTGTTCTGAAGAAGACTTGAGTTCAAACTAACTGAGTTTTGGACTGAAGGGTCTTCAGGCAGACCAAAACCCCAAAACCTGACCAAATCTTGGGTCCACACTGTCTACAACATCTTATTTTCTAACTGGTCTGACTGGACGTCTCTGGATCTCAGGTCATACATCTCATACATAATGTGCATTATAATGTGCAGTCATATTATCATTATGACTGTTGGAGCCATAATGTGGTTTTGTTGTTTTGTTTTGTCTTTGAGGGAAACACGGAGTGTGTACACATGCAGTTCTGACATTGAACAGTGGGTGGCACATTAACCTAAAAGTGCATATATGTACGTAAGTGTAATTAGAATCAGGTGTGTGTGGACGGGAAGCTAACAGTTTTTGACCGTGTCAAGGTGCCGTGTCAGGGTGCCGTGTCAGCGTAGAGTTTCAAGGTGATATATTATCCTGTCAAGTATCCTGTGGTGTTCTGTTATGGTGTCAATGTGCAAACGGAATAAATGGATCAACGGATCGAAAGAAAGAAATTGGACAGTGAAATGTTTGTGGAACATGCGTCCGAACAAGTTCTCCCGTTTGCCCCCCAGTGGCTTTAAGATATAAAATGGATATTTGTTAAAGTCACTACAATGACTTTTCCTGAAGGAAAGTCGAGACGAAGAAACTCAGGTATAAGAAGACAAGGACGGTCTCACCTGTGGGCCCGTACAGCTGGACCTCCAGGGGGGCCTCCCCGGCCTTACTGCTGTCCACAGTGAAGGTCTGAGGGACGTGGGCTCGGACTCCACTTCCCAGTCCGGGACCTGAACACTTGACTTTACTGGGATCCACCAGCTCTCGCACTGGGACCCGAAACGGGCTCCCTGCAACACACACAGAGGTTATGAGTCATTGCTGGAACCAGACCAGACCAGACCCCCAAAGAGACTTGGTTCAGACCATCACCTGGGATAGGAAGGCCTCCGAAGGTGATGTTGACATCGTACTCTCCAGGAGTAAAGGGGATGTACTCCACGCTGCAGCTGCCATCTTTGTTGTCCTTACAGGACATCTTCGCCTCAGATGGACCCTCAATGGCCAGACCAAGACCTCCGGTGCCAGCACCTCTGAGGGGGAGACGAGGGGGGGGAGGTTTAGACTCGGTCTGAGACCTTTAGAGCTGTTTGATTGAGATTAATAGCTACAGTAAAATCACCTGGTCTCGACGGTGAAGCGGTTCGGTTTGTTAACCAGGCCTTCCTCCAGACCCGGACCGTAGGCTCGGACTCGACTGGGGTCACAACCCTCCGTCACAGACACCCTGAACGGACTCTTCGGCACCGAGACCTCATCAAACAAGACCACAATCAGATGCAGACCTGCAGACAGACGTTGGTGGGTCGTGTTTTGTTTTATCAGGTCTGTGTCAAACAAAGGGGTCTAAACGAGACCCTTATGGGGCTACTGGTGGGACTTTAGTCCTCTGATAAAAATACAACTTATTACTAAATAACAGATACAAATTGATGACGTTTTAAGTAGGAAAATGGTCTGTTTGACTCTAAATGGACCATAATGTACTAAATGAACATCATGCTGTATTGAAGAAGACTTGAAACTAGAGATTGAGACCATAAACTCATGTTTACAATGTTTACTGAGGTAATAAATCAAGAGAGAAGTAGAGTCATTTTCTCATAGACTTCTATACAACCAGAGGAGTTGCCCCCTGGTGGACACTAGAGAGAATGCAGTTTTAACACGTGAAGCTTTGAAGAACTTAAAGAACCGGAGGTTGTTTCTTGACTCGTTTTTTTTCCATGCAGGGTTTTGAACCATCAACTGTTCGGCCACAAAAACCTACACGTTCATCAAGTTTATGTTGTTTAACAGGAACTGAATATGACTGAGGCCTCCACAGGGAAGAGTATTTCTGTCCCACAATGCACTGGGCTCCAGCATGTCACACATTACTATCAGTGGAAAACCATCTGCTGCAGCTATTAATACCAGCTGCCCCCCCCCCCCACAGGCCTCTCCACATTCATTAAGTTACACCTTAAATACAGTTTTCTACCTTCGTTAATCTGTTCTCTGTGTTTATGTGAGCATCACTCAAAACTTCTTAATCTTTCTGATTAACAAGAAAACATGTTGGTTTTGAATCGTTGAATTCTTTTCCTTTGCGAGAACCACAGGGTCCTTTAATTCAACATTATAATGTGTTGTTGTGGAAAACAACCCCATAAAACAGCAGCGAAGGACAAGAAGAAGAACAAGAACCCTCCAAAGTGATCTGGTTCTCTCCGGTCCCATCCCCCTAGACTAAAACCCTGTAGAGTCTCTGGGTCCTCGTAGGCCGTGTACTCCACCATGTAGGTCCCGTCCCCCCTAGACTAAAACCCTGTAGAGTATCTGGGTCCTCGTAGACCGTGTACTCCACCCTGTAGGTCCCGTCCCCCCTAGACTAAAACCCTATAGAGTCTCACCGTCCTCGTAGGCCGTGTACTCCACCATGTAGGTCCCGTCCCCCCTAGACTAAAACCCTGTAGAGTCTCACCGTCCTCGTAGGCCGTGTACTCCACCCTGTAGGTCCCGTCTCCTTTGTCGGTGACATAGGCGTCCGTGTTGACGCCTGACGGGTTGGAGATGACGGCTTTGACGAGACTGCCGCCGCTCTTGCAGTGCGCCCGGGCGTCCACGAGGAAGTGGGTGGTCACTTCCCTCAGGATGCCTGCAGAGGACCAGCAAACAAGAGTGACATTTTAATAATAAACAGCCAAAATATAATGAATTCTTAATTTAATCCAAACATTTGACAGAACCTCTGAGGCCCTTTACTTTGATTATTTTGGTTAAATGTGATTTCAAACGTTGATCACGTAAAGAAGATAAATGTTTAACATGTAGATCCACTTTAGAGAAACTCTGGTGACTTTATTACAACTGACTGAAGTCCAGTTAATGAACCAGTTAGCGCCTTAAAACTGATCTCAGAACAGCACAGAGCTGTAAAACACATCGATTTAAAATCAAATTGTTTATAACGTTTACTTCAATAACCCAAAATCCATCTAATAAACCCTCACTTATAAATCTGATCAAGAGCTTTAAAAATAATAATTTATCTCCAGCTTCCAAAACAAACTGCTTTATTAAATTAAATTTAATTATATTAAATTTAATTATATTAAATTATATTATATTTAGTTAGTATATTTAACAAGAATGTATATTAATTATTTATTTAAGGGATTGGTATTTTATAGTGAAATTATGATCTGGTAAATACTTTAAAAAGCAAGTCAAACTAAATCCATCTCATAAAGGACTCTAATAGATTCTGGATTTTATAAAAAATTATACAAACCACTTTGTAACTGACCTTCTTTCAGACTCACCTCTGGGTTCCACTCCCGGTCCGTGGACCTTCACCCCGCTGGTGTCCACAGCCGGGTCCACCTGTAGTCCGGCGGGGAACCCGGGCACCGTGAGTCCTCCGTACTTGATGGTGATGGTGTACGTGCCGTGGACCTGTGGGATGTAGGTGATGGAGTATGTCCCGTCGCCGTTGTTCTGGACGTGGACTTCGGCTTTGGCTCCGGACTCCGAGACGATCTCGATGGTGAGCTCGGCCTCTCCGGCTTTGGAGCAGTCCACCGTGAAGGATCCGTCCTCGTTGACCTTCCCTCTCTCCAGGCCCGGCCCGCTGGCCGTCACCTTGTTGGTGTCGAACTCCGCCTGGACCGCGGCCTTGAAGGGGGACCCGGGGATGTGCTGGTCCGCAAACAGGATGTTGATGGCGTACTCGCCAGGCTCCGTGGGCAGGTAGGACACGGAGCAGGATCCGTCACCGTTGTCCTGGCATTCGATCTTCGCCTCGCAGGGTCCCTCCACAGTCAAGCCCAGACCGCCAGTACCGGCTCCCTTTGTGTCGATTGCAAAGGGGGCCAGTTTACCCACAATGCCACCCTGAAGACCTGGACCGTAGGCTCGGACCTGGAGGGTAAACGAGCCAAAGAGATGAGACTAGTTTGGAGCCAGAAACATGGACGGACTTTTGGACATGGTAGATCCAGTAACCAGTTCACCAAGACCAAGAAAGGTTTCTGAAGACCAAGAGATGTTTACCGGGACCCAAACCGGTTTACTAAGACCAGTATTATATAATGATATTCTATCTCAGCATAATTCTGAAGGACTTTTGTTTCCTGAGGTCTCACCTTCGAGGGGTCCGGCGGCATGATGCCCTCCACGCTGAATGGACTTCCTGGTACGGGATTCCCGTCGTAGCCGATGTCCACTCGGTACTGTCCTTCCTCGTTTGGGATGTACTTCACCATGTGCACCTCGTTGGCCGTGCCGGACTCCATCTTGCAGGGGATCGGTCGGCGTGATGGCGAGGTGATCTTGACCTCCAGTCGTCCCTGACCTCCGGCCTCACGAGTGCTGACGGTGAACTCCTCGTCCTTCCCGACATCCACCTCTTTGATGAGCACACAAACACAGACAGACGAGATTTTAAAAACAAATAATGTTTCCTTTTCATTTGTCATGTAAGTGAATATTTGGTTCTCAACGTTACCAGATCTGTAGGAAGACCTGATTCCTGACAAACTTCTTGAGGAACTATTTTAACTAAATGTTCAGGATTTAAACTGAAGACGATTCTACCTGATGGTACTAGGGGTGCAACGGATCACAAACCTCACGGTTCGGTTTGGATCACGGTTCTTGAGTCATGGTTCGGATCATTTTTCGGATCAGCAAAGAAAAGAGTTTGAGAAAATGTTCCCCGGTGGTTCCGGTAGAAAGTGCCGACAGACGTACTCACTGTTGTTCAAACCCTGAACCTTGACCTTGTTGAGGTCCAGCGGGGGGGCCACGCTGATGTTGAAGGGGCTCTTGGGGATGGGGTCTCCTCCGTGACACACGGTGACGGTCGTGATCCCCTGAGGAGAGATCACACAAAAAGAGACTACACAGTGAGCTCTGGATCGTGGTTCAGCTCACACCAGAACCGATGTGGATCCGTTGGTCTCACCTGCTGGACGGCGGTGTAGCGGACCGTGTACGAGTAGTCGTGGTTGTCGATGATCTCGAAGTCTCGGACCGTGTCACCTTTGGCCGATCCGGTGAAATGGACCTCGGGTTGGGCTTTACCGGCTCCCTTCGTGTAGATGGTGAAGTGGGTCGGTTTCCCCACTTCAACTCCTACAAGTTACACGTAGAAAGACAAATAAACTGGAGGCTTTTAGAGGGATTTATTGCTACTTTTACTTTGGTAAAGCGTCTAAATACGTAAGTTATTCAAAAGCACATGACACATTATTTTCTGGAGCAAAAACCAACACAAAGACGTAGAAACATGAGCACTAATTACTACATTACTGTGGTTTAATCACTTATTCATGGCCTCAAGTGAAGTGATTCCAATAGAAGAACACCTTTTACTGAATCTATAACATGTCTGGAGTGCAGAGCTTTCTTCCCTGCAGGATAAAAATCACACCTGAAGTCGGCTCACCTGTCTTGCTGAGTCCGGGTCCTTCTGCTCTGACTTTAGCTGCATCATGGGAAGGATCCACCTTTATTCTGAAGGGGCTGATGGGGATTTCCTGTTGCAACATTTAAAGGCGAGAGGTTCGTTTCCCTGTGTCTCATATTAATAAGAAACTTTTTTTTTTTTTTTACCTGTCTCTCACCTGATCGGCGAACAGCACCATGATGGTGTACTGACCGGAACCCGGAGGCGTGTACTTCACCGTGAACGTGTCGTTGTCGTTCTTGATGATGTCGAAGTCGATGTCGGCCTCCGCGGGACCGACCACACCCGGAGCACACTTGATCCCGATGCTGACGTCACCTGAAAGGTAACAAGGCTTATAATAAACCTCACAAAGTAACACCACTAAAGAGGATCAAGGACATGAAACCAGAACCGGGTCCCACCCTGTCCGGCCTCGCTGCAGTCCACAGTGAAGTACGTGGGCTCGTTGGCCTTCAGGCCCGTCTTCTCCACACCTGGACCGTAAACCTTCACGTTCTCTGGATGGCTGCCTTCTCCTATCGTCACCTGGATCACACCAAACATTTATTAAAGTGGCATCAACCATCATCTGAAACTACTTTCCATATTCTACCTCCCCCACAGTATTCACTGTTGTTTATTTCCTCTTCATATCATTCGTTGTATAATTGTACGGAGGCCCTGAGAGGAGATCTGATCTAGATAGTTTTCTCTCCTGTGTTTAGGACTTGAAAACAAGTGACACAAATAGGTGTTAATGTTTTTATCAGGATCATTTTTCCAAGTTCCTTAAAATTAATTTTTCATCTGTGAAAAAAGTGTTTGTTGTTGTAATATTCATGTTGGCCACAAGGGGCTGAAGTGCACCACTACCTCATGTTCTCAGTAGCTTTTAGTTATTTAGAACATGAGGTAGTGGTGCACTTCAGCCCCTTGTGGCCAACATGAATATTACAACAACAAATACTCAGTTTTCACCTGTTTCCAAGTCATAAACACAGGAGAGAAAACCATCATCAGTATTTATTTTTATCACTTGGCTATCAGAGCCACCGTACATTTTCTGTTTTAATTTATTATTTTTGATATTTTTTTTTGCATCTGTTTTTTTGTGTGTATTTTTAATCTCTTTCTACATCCTTTAGTCTTTGGAGTTCCTCAAGGTTCGATCCTTGGTCAACTATAACTCTGTACTTATAGAACTAACGCCTGTACTTATAGAACTACCGCCTGTACTTATAGAACTACCGTCTGTACTTATAGAACTACCATCGGTACTTATAGAACTACTGTCTTCGAACCACCGACCCGCATTACCCAGTGTGTTGGTTCTTTACCCTGAAGGGGCTGCTGGGAACGTTGACCTCCCCAAAGGTGATGATGATGGTGTGTTTGATGGGTTTGGTTGGAACGTAAACACAGAGGAAGCTGCTGTCTCCGTTCTCTGAGATCTGGATGTCGATGGGGAAACCTTCTGCGTCCTGGAAGCACACAAACATTCACTGATCTCCACTTGACATCATATACACATATATAGGTCGACATCTTTGACCTGTGATTGGTCACCTGAGCGTAGAGCTTCAGCTCTCCTCTGCCGGCTCCCTGGGCGTCGATGGTGAAGTTGGCGGGTTTGTTGACGATGCAGCCCAGCGGCTCCAGACCCGGACCGAAACATCTCACCTGAGGACGAAACATCCCACATTCAGCACATCACTGTCTGACGGTAAAAACCTCTAAAAGTCGAGGTTCTGGTCTCACGTTTTCTGGGAAGACGTCGTTGGCGGCGGGGAGGACGTGAGCCATGAAGGGACTGTCCTTGATGTCCTCGTCGTCACAGATCACGTGCACGGCGTAGTCACCCGGTTCGGTCGGCCAGTACCGAACGTCACACGACCCGTCGCCTTTATCGTCGCACTCAATCTTCGCCTGAGACGGACCCTCGATAGAGAACCCTGCAGATGATGCACGACGAATTAAACACCTCATATATTCTGTATTTATATTTATATATTTATATTTATATATATACAAATATTTATATCTACGTCTTACAGGTGCAGCTAGAAGAAAAGTCGTGTTATTAAGTTGTGAATAAACTTTAAAGAAATCTGACCACTAGTTGTTGAGATCCTGTACGTTTCTCCTGTTTAAGCCCCTCCCCCTAGCCACCTGTCAATCATTGAGAGCAGCAGGTGAGTGTTTGTGATTGGTCCTTTTGTGTGTCGTGACGTACCGAGTGTTCCCACCTCCGTGCCGATGGCCTCCACCACAAAGTCGGCGCTCTTTCCCACCATACTGGTCTCCAGACCTGGACCCCAGGCCCTCACCTTCTGAGGCCCCGCCTCCTCACTCACCTGGACCTCGAACGGACTGAAAACACACCCACACACACCCACACACATACAAATTATGATCCCATACAGAAATGAAATATAACAAACGTGTATCATTACGCTACGTTTAAAGGTTCAACTAGAAGTACAGGAATATAAAGAGACAATGTTTTACTCAACAAGAGAACGTTTCCACAGACAACAAATTAAATTCTAATCAAAATACCATTTTAAACTGTATAAAATGTAGCTGAGTTTGTTTTACATCTATATCCATTCAATCTGAGCCTCTGGAGTCCCTCAAGGTTCTATACTGGGTCCTTTATAATTCTGTATTGACATGGAACCACTTGGTTAAATGATACAAATATTTAGTTATAAATTCAACATTATGCACCAATGTGTAAAAGAGACATTATCCTTGAACAATTAATATATTATTAAGTATAATAACCATGCACTATAAGTGTTTAAATACTTCAAATTGAAAACAAGCTTAATATAGAGAGAGGGTTGTATTTAAGTGATTCATCATGAGTCATAATGATATATTTTCAGAGTAAAACCTCTGGAGTCCCTCAAGGTTCCATCCTGGTCCCCGATAATTCTCATGAAGCACTAAAAGTCTCCATATGACGGATGAACTGCACCTGTGTGACAACAATACGATGAGCTGAGTGTCTCACCTGCGTGGGATGCCGTGTCCTCCCCAGGTGATGGTGACCACGTACTTCCCCGTCACGATGGGGTAATAGTTACACTCAAACACCCCGTTGTCCATCTCCAGAACCTTCACTGGCTCCTCCAGACCCTCTGGGTTCAGACAAAGACGTCAGTGCCGCTCATGGTGAACATTAAAGGTGCATTTCAAAGTAAAAGACGGATGCCTGGTGTCTCACTTGGTCCCTTCACGGTGACTTTGAGCTCTCCGCTGCCAGCTCCTTTAGTGTGGACTTTAAAATCGCCCACTTCCTTCACCCTCAGACCCTTCAGCTGCAGACCTCGACCCGACGCCCGGCAGGCATTAGGGTTACAGGCTGTGAGGACCAATCAGAAGGAGGCGAAGATAATGAAACACTCACTCCTGTTTGTCCTAAAACCAGTCGGCCCAGTCCACTCTGACTCTATGAACTAAGTATAGATTACAAGTTAGTCTAACAAGTTAGATAACACAATACTTATTATTGTATTTATATATTTTATAATAAATAAAAACACAATACTTATTATTGTATTTATATATTTTATAATAAATAAAATCACAGTACTTATTGTATTCGTCCTCTCTTCTTGTGCACATTCATTAGTAATTTGTCCTCATTCATAAAATAAAGTACAAAAAGCTTAATCGTGGCTTGACTTATTAAATGAATGCTCTCCAGCAAATAATTGTTCTTACATATTTTTAGTTTGTGCTCTCAAATGATGAACTTAGAAACAATAAATGCAACATAGAGTTAAACTTTGTTTTCGAGTGAATAACCGAAGCAGCTTGTTAATAGCAGTTAGTTTAGTTTGTTTTGTGGAGTTTATTTAAACGTATTGAACAATAAATAAATAAATGAAGAGCTGAATTAATAACATATGAAAATATGAAAACAAAAGGTTGTTGGGAGGACACAGCTTTAATCCTTAAATGACTCATTGTGAGGATTTATCTAAATAATTAAACTTCATAAAATGTCTAAAATATAATAATGTTCTATATGAAGCCAGAATAAACACACACACAGATCATCTGTTAGTCAGCTGATCAGTGCTGAGAGAAGCTGAGGCTGAAAGGAAAAGCAGCAAAGAAGAAACAACAGATATGATCAGACAGAAGGTCGATGAGGAAACATATACAAAGATATAGATATGTATAGATATGATCAGACAAAACAGGAAAACACTTTCAGCTCAGATTCACTCTCACGTTTATGCAGAAAAGGACTTAATTTACAGTTTTTATGTGAACAGAACAAAATGCAGAAAAGTGAAAAGGAAGAAGAAACCGAGATGATGATGAAGATGAAGATGAATGAGACACTAGTTCTACTGCTTAACGTCTGGATTATAGGTTCGTATCATCACAGGAAGGACAGTGAAGGATTTAAACGTGTTTTAGAGGATTAAGACAGATTAATAATCTTTTGATGAGTTTCTACAATTTCAGACGGTTTTATTCTGAATACAAAGACAGATTCTGATTCTGACTGGACGTCAATGTGAACAAAGTAAAAATATTATATTAACGACTCTCTCAGCCTTGAAGTCACAATGAATCTATTTATGTTTTCTTGTAATATTTTAAATATTTAGTGAAGATGTTGAACATCTGACTGGATATTCTGCTGGAGTTCTATGACGATGTTGTGAACAGATGTTTCCTGTTAAACGTTTACTTCAGTTCATAAAGGCTTTTCTGTTTTCTGATTCTCGGAGATTATTATTTATGAGAGAAAAAGCTTCTCTTAGGGACTCGAGGTGACACTTGGTGAGTCCTTCACTGAAGTCTTCCTGGAACATTTAAAACGATTTCTGAGCTACTTGTTCTGTTAATCAGACCGTGAAACATGTCAAACACAAGCTGTCTGAACTCTGATCACATTCTTGGACCCTAAAATCAAATTTACAGGACAGTTTGTGAAAATCTGTCCTGGGACACCAGACCGGACTTTGATAGATTTAGATGTAAAACATACATGATGTCATGTTTGCAGATATTTGGAGGCCTGATCATGAGTCCAGAGAGGACTCCACACATCCACATTCACTCCGTCTCTGTAGAAGAAGAAGAAGAAGAAGAAGAAGAAGAAGAAGAAGCTGCTCAGCAGGAAGCCGGTGCTGCACATGCTGTAAAGCTGGGAGACCCTGTTTCAGAGGGGTCAGAGATGGTTTTCAGTTGAGGTGGAACGAAACCAGGCGAGCAAGAAGGCTCCAGTCACAACCCCGCCCCCCCCAGCCTGTACTAACTTGGTCGCCTGGGTTTGGGCGGTGTTGGAGGGGGGGCCCTCCTGGTCTGGTCTGAGGGTGGGGTGCGTGCGGAGTGAGGTGCAACCTGCACCGGAGACCCGGGAGGAGGGGCGCTCTGTGAAACTGAAGGAGGGAACAACAGTGATGATACATATGTAGTACAGGAAGGGAGGAGGGACAGAGAACCCCAGACCAGCAGACAGCCAGACCAGTAGACGGTTAGACCAGCAGGATGCCAGTCAGCAGACTGCCAAACCAGCAGGCAGAGTCCGGTTCTGCAAGTCTAAAGTCTAACACTTTAGTCAAGTCTAAACTCAGAAGAAAACTCAAAACTCAAAAAAGTCAGAAGTCCGGTCACAAGCCGAGAAAAGGCCAGTCCCAAATCAAGACCGGCAAACCTCAAGTCAGGTTCAAGTACACCAACAGCTGCACCTGAAGAAATTCAACCTGTCAAAGACAATGATGGTGCACTTCTACACTGCCATCATTGAGTCCATCTTCTGCTCCTCCATCACGGTCTGGTACGCTGCAGCCACTTCCAAGGACAAGGGCAGAATGCAGCGCATCACTCGCTCTGCTGAGAGGGTGATTGGCTGCAATCTGCCATCCTTCCAGGACTTGTTCACTTCAAGGACCCTGAAGCGAGCAAGGATTGCAGCTGACCCCTCTCACCCTGGACACAAACTGTTTGTGCCCCTTCCATCTGGCAGGAGGCTGAGGTCCATCAGGACCAAGACCTCACGACAAATGAACAGTTTCTTCCCGTCCGCAGTCGGGCTCATTAACAGAGTCCGGGTCCCCCACTGACTGTCATCCCCAGGACAATCTCCTATCGGTCACTCCCCTGCACATCCCTTCTAGGTTCTTATTTAAACACACTCGACACTTTTACACTACACTTACATCTCACTTGTTTATAGTCCTGTTATCTGTTCGTTTGTGCACTTTATTTTATATTTTTCTGTACATTGTAATATGTTTCTACTTTGCACTGTATTGATGGTTGTTGATTGTTAAATGTTATGCACTTCCCGTCATGTCAGATTCCTTGTATGTACAACATACCTCGGCAATAAATGGTTCCGATTCTTATTCTGAAGTCAAAGAAAGACGAGTCTCAAGTCAGGTCTAAAAAGAAAAGTCCTGAAGTCAAGTTCCAAGATTTACAAGTTCTAAGTCAAGTCAAACAAGTTCTAACTCAAGTCCAAGTCAAAGATGGACAAGTCCCAAGTCAGGGGTTCAGTCTCATCCTCAGAAAAGGACCAAGACTAATGAGTCTCAAGTTGAGTCCTAAATCAAATCCAAGTCCTTTCAGACGAGGTCCTCCATTAAAGAAAAGTCGAGTCCATCCAAACATCCATCCTGGTTCTGGTCCCATCTGCAGACCAGCAGACCAGCAGAGCACCAAGAAGACTGAACACAACAGCCCAAAAACCACGACAGCACAGCTTCAGCCACTAAAAACCCAACAAGCACCAACTGTCCCATCAGACCTGGACCCAGACTGACCTGCAGATCTGACTGAACTGTTACGTTTTAGTTCTTTAATCCGTCAGTCTGGACGTCAGATTTCAATGTGACACTCGCTCTGATTAGAAAAACATGCATTCGATATTTCAGACACCAGATTCTCGTTCATTTACAACAAAACTTTAAAGGAACCACAGAGAGCATCTAGAAGGAGAAAAGGGTATTTCAGAGTGTAAGATGAAACCCACCCTCTGAGATGTGGATGGTGAAAGGGCTTCTGGGAATCTGCTGCCCAGCAAAGGTCACGTAGACGGTGTGAGGTCCCTCCAGGACGGGAACATAGGTGCAGCGGAAAATACTGTCCCCTTTGTTCTCCAACACAATCTCCACTGTGTCCCTCCGGCCGTTCGAATCCACAATGATGACGCCCACGTCTCCGGCACCGGCCCCTGGAGGACAGACGGACAAGGAGACTATCAAACACTGAAGAACGAATGTGACGTTCACTGAAACGACGTCAGACGGACTGAACCTGGATTACCTGCAGTGTAAATATCAAAGTACGTGGGTTTGTTGGCCACGTTCCCCGCCTGCTGCAGTCCCGGCCCACGGGCCTGAACTCTTGTCGGGTCGCCCATCGCCTTGGAAATGTTTACCATGAAGGGACTTCTGTCGATGTCCTGCCCAGCAAACAGCACCTTCACCTGGCGGGGGCGGTGACATAAAGGCCTGTCAGGGTTTCATTAATCCAGTAGAATAAAAGTCACCTGGAGGCTTCTGGTTGTTACTTTTGAAATAAAGTTCTTAAAAAGAAGGATTGTGAACTTTGACTTGACACAAGAAAAATAAATAAACTACTTCTTTAACGTCACAAACTTATTACTAAGACTTCTTAGTAATAGTGATATATGATACATCTTCCCACATATGTTCTAACCTCCATGTGGACATACGAAGGACGATATTGTGCATGTGTAGACTACAATGTTCTGTCTGTTATTAGAAAAGTTTTAAATATCAACAAAACATCTTGAACTTTAACTGTAGAACTTGTCACGACTCAAATTTAGTCCTGAGCCAAAAGAGAAGGTTCTCTGAAGAGTAAAACACCTGAGTTTGATCCAACAGGTCATTTATACCACGTTTCAACCAAATACATGTAGAAGCAACAGGAACTAAAGCAGGAACTAAAGCAGGAACTAAACCAGGAACTGAAACAGGAACTAAAGCAGGAACTTAAGCAGGAACTAAAGCAGGAACTAAAGCAGGAACAAAACCAGGAACGAAACCAGGAACTAAACCAGGAGCTAAAGCAGGAACTAAACCAGGAACTGAATCAGGAACTACACCAGGAACTGAAACAGGAGCTAAACCAGGAACTAAACCAGGAGCTAAACCAGGAACTGAAAACAGGAGCTAAACCAGGAACTAAACCAGG